TTTAATTTCAACTCAACTGAAGAAGCATTGTTAAAAAGAATCACTATATCCCAGGGGAATCAGGAAATTAAACTTTATTTATTGGGTTTGGCTTTCCCATAAGTAGACAGAACCATATAGCATCTGATTACCCTGTGAGGGGAGGCACAGCTTGAAAAAGAGCCCTGCCAATGTGCCACTGGGCCATTGATTAATTAAGCAATAAGATGAGGAGGTCTGTCACTTATGGTCATTAATGCATGCCTGCAATGYCATTTGAGGCATGAGTGTCTGGTTAGTATTATAGGGCCTGAGCCCACAAGAGTTTACATYTGAGCACAGGATTCAACACTTGTGCTGCTCTGTTTGCATATTAACATAGCCATTTGCAGGTGTTGGAGTACACTGGGCAGTCTAAACCTAACCTTCCTTTTTCAGGGTGGTGGGGTGAGAGAGGAGATCTTCATTTTAAATTTAGCTTCCTGTCAGAAACAGCATGGTTTGCGTTACAAAATTTGTCTCTCAATCCATAGAATATTGAAAAGGATCACAAAAATATATACYCACTGCAATCAGGAGTACTGCTTTATGACCACTATTTTTACACATCCCACAGCAAAGAATTAAAAGGAAAGGTATTCCTCATATTATTCTGACTTTCTGAACTGGTTCAGACGACCTGRAAAACCTCCACTCTCTACCCCATCTGTAGAGCTGCTGCCTTATAKTTGTAATAGTTAACACTGGCAATGTGAGAAAGCACAGGATTTTTCCTGGTTCAGGGCGCTGGGCACTCACCTGGGAGCAGGCACTCCTGAGTACCTGAGTTCCAGTTCTTGCAGTCCCAGAGGTCTCCTCTGAGCACTTCTTTGCTTCTGTTTGTATTAAACTTACCTGTTTCAAACTACGTTTTTTTCTGTACACCACATTTAAAAATGATCATTTGAAATACTTCACTTTCAGGTAAATATAGTGAAGAATAACAAGTTTGATCAGAGGTAACATGCTTTTCATAAAAGCTGCTGCCTGTATAAATCAGAAATGGGTGTTTTAGTGGTTCATTCACACCCACRATGGCTAAACATCCAATTTAAGATCAGTTAGGATTGCTTCCCTSTTGATTGGACTTGCAATTAATTAGATATTACACAAATAATGTTTTAACAGCTTGTTATTTTATTACTTTGTTGGAGAGGCAGGAACAAACCAAAAAATTTGGGATGAGTCAGCTCTGTATAGCTCTTTCCCACTCCAGAGTGGAATGGGCCTCTGTCCTTGCCATGTACTGCTCATTAGATAATGCATCAGGAGYAGGGGAGCCATAAGGAAAATTAATAATAATAATAAAGTTAGTGTACTGTGGCTTAAAGATACAGATGCTCAAGAAGTTTCTGCTYAATTTCAGAAATTTCATTTCTTGCCAACAAGCATGGTCAGTGTATCAATGTAAACATTTGCATTAGATACATTTCCATTAAATACTTTCAGTTCAACATCAGCACCACCACATTTATACCAATATTTTCCTCAGTTACAGATATGTTAAACCAGTATAAGAGCATTTAAAGAMGCTTAATATTATCCACACATTAACTATATCAATGTAAATAAATGAGCATCAACTTTGGGTTTAGGCAGAGCTGGGATAGGATTCCCACCATGTAACTGTGTAGCCTAGGGAAGGAAAAGGGCTTATCTCCAGKGCTACATCGAGTTACTGCACTCTAACCTTGAGAGTACATGCTAAGAACAATTACAGCTACATGGAGTGATGAGATTGTGAACACAGTGATTAGATTAACAGCAGATGACTTGCAAGTCAAACTGCTGCATCCCCACTGCATTGCCAGCTCCATCAGCAGCAGCCCTCCCCCTTGAAGTGCTCCCCACAGTCCCAGCTTTAAGGACTTCAATAAAGTCTTTAGACACCAAATAAACAGACAAAATTCCCATCTTGCCTCCTATTGTTCCAAACCCAAGATGTTCTCATACAACATCAGGATCTCAAACAACAGCATTTCACTGGCCACAACACTGCATGAATGACACAGCTATAAAAGGTGACATCCATCTTACCAGGCACTCATGGTCCGAGTGACAGCAGCTTTGAGGGAGACTATGTCCTCACACCTTGTTAGCAACCAGGGCAGAAACAAGGAGAAAAAAAACAAACACATCTTTAAAAAGTGAACATAACCATGCAAACCCAGGCACAAGACTGCTATCCAATGCAGCAGCACTAGCTACCTGAGAACCAAGCAGGCTTCAGCCAGAACAGGAAAACTTCAGTGGCAAAGTTGCTACTCTTCAGCTCAGCTTTATTAATCATGGAATCACAGAGTAGCCTGAGTCAGAAAGGTCTCACAAGGATCACCAGTCTAAATCCTGGCCCTGCACAAGACCCCCAACAATTCCCCCCTGTGCATCCCTGGCAGTGCTGTCCAAATACTCCTGGAGCTCTGGCAGCCTCGGGGCTGTGCCCATTCCCTGGGGAGCCTGGGCAGTGTCAGCACCCTCTGGGGAAGAACCTTTCCCTGATATCCATCCGAAATCTCTCCTCACACAGCTTCATGTGGGGCTCAGCTCAGCAGCAACTCAATAAAACAAAGGAGCTTGCAGCCACCTGCCCAGCCCTCTGGTTTAACTTTTTAAAATTGATTTTGTTTGAGTTCTGTGAATTTAAGTAACACAACACAAAAGAAGATTTCCTATAAACATTTTGTAGACAGTCCCTACACTAATGTAGGCTGAGGAGAAACAAAGTGCAACGCTGCTCGCTGGAAAGGATTATAGGATGAAGTCTGTTGCTTCTGTAAAGAGGGTGTTTGAGGTTTTCTTACTAAAACAAGGCACAAAAAAGTCCATCTTCATCARCACCACTTAGAACACTTAGGCTGATTTAACCCACAGTATTCTCATTCTGCTGAGTCTACCTACACCCATCTGATCCCAATTAACTCCCAGATAGGTGCATTTTCCTGCACTGCCTAGAAAATTTTGGGGGAATAACCAGCCTTACTTTTGTCTCCTACATTTCTCAAGGAGCAAAAAAAAAATCCATGCTMAAAAATGTTTTAACTCAATCGGCCCTTCTTCTCAGAGACATCATCACCACAGGATTAAACAAACTGATGGTTTCTATCCAAAGTACACAAAGCTATGACTTTTGGAATTTATCTGGGGAATTCATTATTCATTTCCAAATTCAGTGTATTTTGTGTCCTGTTATTTACCCAAGAAACACTGGCAGAGCATGAGATATGTGGGAATCACCTGTTTTGTTCAATCCAGCAGAGTGTATTTCGATTTATAGGAGTTCCATGATTTCTTCAGTTTCTCCTCTTGTAATCTTTATTACAATATAGTTGAAAATATACATGAATCTACATTTTAATAAAAATGTGAAGAAGGAAAAAAAAAATAAATCTGGAATGTTTCTATTGGTGTTTTAAGACATAACAAACTACAGCAATTTATTTCACCAAATCCAGTTGTAATGCTAAACCACAGATAAACATTACTAATGGAGCAAGAATGTGCTCCTTCCTTCTGATGGAGATCCAAGATTGCCCTTTGGAGTTTGCCAAACAGCATGGGGCACTTCATTCACCATGTGATTGGCACACACTYCAGTTCTGAATCAGTTTGGGGATGAAATTGTTGGCTAAAGCCCTGGAAATTCTGACTCTGGAGCTGTCAGGCAGGCTGTCTTTACTTTGAGAAAAAGCAATTCTATTTAATACACTATGTTACTTGGCTTTTATTTGGTTTTACATTGTTCATTGATGTTTTGAATTTTGATGAATTGTGCAGCCCCCCAAGAACTCTAATAGGGGCAACTTAATTTAAAAAACCCCAAGTTTATTATTTCAACATGTGCTAATAAAATTGCTACATGTTTAGGGAATCTAATCCCATCTATTTAGATGGCACACAAAAGGCCACCAGCCACTGCATGCTGACACCAAAAGATGTATYTGTTCACTGAATGGCAGAATTGTCATTTCTAGACTGAGCTCATGTTCAAGGCAGCTCTAACAGTATAGGGAATTCTAAGGGCCAAAGGTTTATTTTTCCATTTATCTYGTAAATAAAGGAAATTATCTCATAAACTTATGATTAATTTTTTTTAGTCAACATTATTTTGCATAGCAACAAGCTTACTTGTAGGATATTTTAAGACATGCAGTTTGGTTTATTATTTTATTGATATTAATGGAAATGATCCAGAGGAGAAAAAAACATCATCTGGAGGTCTGACTCCATTGCCTGCCACATCCTAATGTCAGTGAATWTYCTKGGAGCAGAGTGCTTGGAGGATTGGGATTCTCTTCCTCAGGGACATGTAGCTATAAAATCCTGAGTTTTTTTCAGATATAGTCCACCTCACACTCAAACCTCCATGCACTCTTCCACTWCAGCTTTTTGTCCCCTTACAGCCATGAATCAAATTTGTGAGTGCACAAACCTTGTTCACATCACCCTTTCTTTTTTCCACWTCTACAAGCTGCTGTGTTATAACCTAACAGGACCCTTATTTTGCACAGCAATCTAATGCACTTCTTTTTTATCTGCTTTCTCTAATGGCTGGTCACCTGCCTTCTCAGCTATGAAATCTTTCAGAAATTTTTCTCTTACCTGCACACACATGGGTTTGGCTCCCTGCTGTGGTAATCCCTGAGGATCCAGTTCCATTATGCTCCTGTRTCAATATAGGTGCTGTCAGCTGCCTGAGGTACAGCCCTGCCACCGAATCAGAAGCTGAAGGAGCTTTTGTAGCAAGATGAGGGTCAACCAGTATCAGATAACACAAGCACAATCCCTATCTCTGTTCTCCTAATAAAGGTATGTCTAAAAATATGCAGAGTCTTGCTTTTCCTTATAATGCTCCTCTTCATTCAACTTTTTATAGCAATGTATGTTTTCATAATTGTAATGTAAAGTTGTTGATATCAATGAACTGCCACGTGCACTTCACACAAATGTTTATTTCTTCACCATTTATTTGAGTTATGAACTGTTCAGGTTTGCCGGGTCCAGAGATGTTTTGTTAATYAAGGTGACTTGTATGGCTGCAGGGCTTTTTCATCCTCAGGAGCAGGTTTGTCGCAGGGGTGGGTGTGGTGTTTCGGGTAGCGCCTGCAGCCACAGCTCCCGGCGTTATCTGCAGGAATCTGTTCGCCCTTAAATGAAGTCCGGTAAACGGTTAAGAAGTCATCTTTGCCGCTTTGGTCTGTTTCAGGAACCCACTCGAATATGTTATGGGTGTTCTTTCTCTGCTTCTCTGGATCCAACTTCCTCAGGCCCATGCCCTAGGAAAAAAAAAGGGAAAGAAAAATTCATGTAAACATATGACTTCCAGTCACAGCTTCACAGATGAATCTTGTAACAGTCACTACCCCACTGGGAAGTGAACGAAGCTGTTACCACAGTGATTTCAAGAACTCACGGTTGATCTTTAGCAAGTTAAAAATAATATTGTCAGACTTGCCTGTATGAACATTTTTGGTTGCATATATAATGGGAAATCTGCTGACCTTCCACCTCTCAGTGCTAATAAAGCACTTTTACTTTGCATTTCTGTAGCACACCATCTACTCAAGGCTATTTAGCTACACTCRGCTAAATTAATCTTCAGAGGCACCCAAAGAAATAGGTTAATAATTCTAGGTTTGGACTGCAATAACGAAACTGAGACAGACCATGAAATCTGAATCTTCAATGCTATCCCTTGTGTGTCCAAACACAGAGACACAGAGCTTGATTTTCACACTCCACAGCTTGCAGGAAATTTATCTGGAATTATGGTTGATCAGTATCTCTAAAACTATGAGATACTGCACAAAGCTCACAGAAATGGAAATTACTCAGTGAATAATGAATTCSAAAAAGTCTAGGCCTGTCAGAGCCCAAAGTCAAACAAACTTTCTATATTGCAATTCACTGCTTCTTCCTTTACTCATTATCCTGTGAACTGCACTATTTCTTTTGCTGCCTGGAATGATATCAACAATCTAACGAAAGTAGAAGACATGAAACTCTTGCCAYACAGAAAAGGCCAAAACAATTTAAATTCTAGTCAAAGTTGTGGCTTCTGCAGCATACATTTAAACAGGTGTATTGTAAAGAGATGYGGATTGGAAAAGAATGCATTCTTCAGACATACTGTGGTGATCCTATGGATTTTGGTTAAATTTATGATAAAGATGAGWCTGAACAAAATATTTGGGACTGCAAATTACAAGTGGCTAGATGTTACAAAAATTCATTGCAAGGCAAATGACTTTTAGCAGACTAATRGGGCATATACCTATATACAAAACCAAAACAGGAATACTGGAAAATGCCTGTCAGACACTTAGGTCATGGCTTTTTGTTCCCTTTGGATTGTGCCACTCTTAGTGAGTGCATGTGCTGCCCTACACTCCTGACAGTCCCAGAGAAGTCTCACCTCTTTACTAATAAAAAGATAAAAAGTGTATTTTTTCTCATTATTTACATTGTTCTCTTCTCACTAGTTTTAACTATTTTTTTTTCCAGGGCATAGAAAAGATACTGTGTTTAATCTCTGGCAGACCAATAGATCTGAATTTGCTTGATTTGTCTCAGTGCTGTTTACTTACCAAGTCAAAATACTCTGCTGCATTGCATATGTCATGTCTGTTGTCATGAGAAGAGAATGGAAAATTGTTGTTTCCAGCTTTCTGAAAGAAATTAAAGCAAAAAAAAAAAAAAAGGAATTTTCATATACCCTGTTTGGAGTCTACCAGTGTTAGTTCTTACATTCTGAAATTACAGCTGCCTTTGTTCTAGCACAGAAGTCATATTCCTATGTTAAATATTCAACTGCACATTATTTTATAGGGGTCGGTCATATGGACTTTCTATTTTTTTTTAATAAAATCATTAGGGGAGTTTGTAGGATATATACATGTTTAATGTAAAAGTGTGACTTTTCAAATAAATGATACATTCTGTTTGCAAAGCAGCAAAGTGCTGGCTATATGTCAGGATTGCCTTGCTTGATTTAGTAGGAGGCCTAAAGCTAATTAAAATAAACTACAAAAGGGACCTCAAAACTGAATTAGTCTGTGATTTATGAACTGAATGTCATGGACACTGCTTGTTRCAGGGGAAGTGGAGGAGGTATTAATTGCTTAACTAATTTATAATCTCATTCTTTAACGTGATGTTCATTCAGTCTCTAAATGAAACCAGAGTTTCCGAACGAAAAAAAAGGACAACTGCAAAAGAATTATTTTAGAAATAAYGAACATATTTGACTTTTTCAATGTTTGTTATATATTATTGCAATATTCCAACTATTGCATTCCCCTCCAAACAAAAGAGCAAGTTTTAATGTAACACAGTCTAAAAGAGATGTTTCAAGAGTRGAGGAATCTGAATCAGTTCTAAAGATCTGTGTAACTGCAAGACTGATCCAGCAAGAAGATTCACCAAACACAAAATCTGCCTGCATGGGGTCAGCTGCATGGTCAGATCTAAGGATTTCTGGTTTACTGGAAAGATTCTCTGCCTTTTTTTAGGTATGTTCACAGGTTCACTYGTCTCATACAGATTCAACCAGACTTTAGTTCAGTGGATAAGTAAATTCAACAGATAAATTCTCAGAAATGTGTTTAAAAATAAGCACCTTTTAAGTCTGTAAAATTTCTTTACTAAAATATCCTCCTGCATTTACGTGTCAATCTCAACATTTCAGGAAYAGTGTTTATTACCAGTGCCTAAACAAGCTTCCTCAGATTGTCCCGTTTCAGCCTTTAGTGCATCTTCGTGTTCTCACCACTGATCTCATATTAATTCTCCATTTATGACAGATAAGAATTTCCCTAGTTCTGTTTAAAAGTGAAGGGCTGCTAAAGACATGAACCACCAGGTGAACAGTCACACTGGTGTTGATAAAAGGTCGCTCTATCTTGGTTCTCCTTTGCAGGCTGTAGCTAAGGCCAGACGTTCCACAGAAAGGTAACTGTAATATTAACACACTGTATACTCACATTACAGTATAATCTCCTTTTCAGTAGCCCCAAGCTTCCCTTTTAMATATTCCTTCCAAGCCCATTTCTGCCCTTCATTATAGCAAAAYCTGTGATATGAACCCATTGTAATTGCTGTGCTTATAGAGAATGAAAATAGAAAATGTTCTGTGCACCAAGTGGGTGGGTAAAGCAAAGCTCAGTGTCATGATAAAATAAGGACATGAAAACATGCTTACAACACTGCAACATTTTAAATATTTGTGATTTTAAAAAATACTGTACTTCACTTCATCCTAACATTTTTCACTAATCTCATTTTTAAGCAAGCCTTAAAAGTGTTTCAAATGAGACGCTTCTAACATTTAATGATCAAAAGAACAACCCCTTTGTGTGAATATACTGAATTTCTGACATTCATTTCCAAACAGCTGATCAAATTTCAATTAAACCTTCKTACAGGGCTTTTCACACAGGTTGTGGGTTGAGATTGATCATAACGTATTCTGTGTCTCAACAGCAAAAGAGAAAATCAGCAATAATACAGCAGGACTTTGAGCAACCAAAATTATGAGTGAGTAACAGGGAAATATGTTTCTTCCGCAGCACAGGCAGCAATCACTTCATCCCCTGAGGCACAAAGTCTGCCAGCCCGCTGTGACTGCTCCGCTAACGACCCTGAGTGCTGTTCTTACTTACAACTTAGCGAGTGACAACTTGCAAAAGAGCTCCGAAAAATCGGCTGTGCTGCCACAGGAACTCACCTGCTCCCGGGCTTTGTATTCCAGCGGCATTCTGTGCTCCTGGCCCAGAGCGGCTGCAGAGTTTAGGACATGTCTTAGTGCGGAGCTTGTTACTGACTCGAGCTCACCCTGCTCCTCTCCAACGTGAATAAACTGGAAAATAATGAAGATTATCAAGCCAACTAAACATCACCACCACCACCAACCCCACACAACCCCGTCCCCAAATAAATCTGATCAGAAATGTGGACAAAATTGTATTTTCCCATGTATTTTTTATTACGTGGATTGGAGCAGCACCTAGTGGCGTCTGGAAAAATGAGGAGCCTCATACACACATAACACAAACCCTACCAAAGACCTTTGGGTAAGTAACCAGACAAGAATTTTAGGAACCTTCACGACAAGAATGTTCAGCAACTTTCTGAAAACTGTTTATAGAGCAATAACCACCAAGSAAAATCACTTAAACTTTTTTACCCTTATRCTACTCCTGCTGTCAGYTGGACAGTTTTKGTTTTTCTGGCAGTTTCRGTGACACTTGTACAGGGTTGAAAGCACAAAATTTTTGGGAATAGCTCAACTAAAGATAAGCCAAAGGGCTCAGAAAGTGAGGAACAGCCTGTGCCAGGAGGGTCACAGTGCCCTGGGATGCCAAGGTGTTCCAGCCCAGCGTTTCTGATGGGATCACAGTGTTCTCCTGGAGGCGAATACTGAGGCAAACCTTGGCTGGAGTTCTCCAGAAGAGAATGTTAATCTAACTATCAAAAAAGAGACCTCCAGCATTGCTGGAAAACTGTAAAAGATAATTCCAGCCAGGGTTAGTTAGCAAGCCAGAACTTTCACGTGCTTCCTCTGAGTACCTTGGATACTTTTTCCTTACAGACCTCAGGAGYGGGAAGACTCATTTCTGGCTAAAGCACAAAGTCACCCCTCGCATGGTGCTTTTTTTGGAGAGTTTAAGGATAAAGAAGCCTTGTGGGGGACACGGGGCCCCTGCCCAGCCCTTACCCAGTCCCCAGCGCGTCTGGGCTGGTCGTTGGGTTGCTCAGATTTGTTGTCAGACATGGCTCGGTGTCACTGCCACCCCTGCACGCTCGGCCGGCGCCACCGCGGCTCCTTGGTGACCTGCTCACGGTGCGGGGGCGGTGTCGAACCCTCCGCTGTGACCTCAGAGCCGCCCTGGTGCTGCGGGGAGATCCACGCAACCAGAGCAACGCCGGGCAACGCTGCTCCTGCCCGTGTGTGTGCCGCAGGGAAGGGGGAAATAAAAGCTGGTGGAAGGATGGAATGTGGAAAACAAGTCCGTTCTGCGCAATCACTTCAGTCACACTGAAATAGGAATGCTCGGAGAAAGGAGGGTTGTGTGACGGGAAAACCCAAGGATGTTAGGGATAGAATTTTTAATATGTAACTTCCTGCTCTTTTGAAACTTTACATATACACATCTTAATTGTATAAACAACCAGTATTTACAAAAAACCTGACTGCGTTTTAAGGAGTTTTTTTTTGCTTTTGARTTTGAGCACCGACTTAGAAGCATCCCAACTACTTCATTGTCAGCACACTCAGCCAAGGGCAGCACAAACCAAGACTTTGCCTCCTTGACCTTGACAGACTCTAAAGAAGGTGACATTTGTGTCCTTTTTAGCTTCAAACTGACAGCGAGTAGGTTTAGATTRGGTATTAGGAAGAAATTGTTCCCTGTGAGGGCTCTGAGGCCCTGGCACAGGTTGGAATGGATGTGCTTTAAGCTCCCCTCCCAGTCAAGCCATGCCATTCTATGATTCTATGATCTATAAATGTGTGTGTGTGTATTTATATATGTGGGTATAGATAGACAGAGATGTGGCTATAGATAGATGAAATTTAAGAGGACTGGCATCCCTGGCCAGTCATCAGCCTCTTGTGGTTTAGAGAATGAGGAATACCATCTACAAGGAAAATGATATTAAAATTCCTATGGGCACTATTTAGGCATTTCTTGCTTGCTGAGGCCATGACATCTTAGCCTTGTCAAATTCAGTGTACAAGCAGAGAGCAAGACACTGCAATGTTCAATCCTYTCCCATGCTGAGGTACCCCATCACAAAGTTTTCGCTTATTTCATCAAGGTCCCAGCTATTTCCCATCCAGGAAAGCCAAACCAACSCGGAGAAAAGGAGCTCTAGGGGGACCTTCTGGCTTTGCTGTGAACAGCCTCAAGCTGTGCCAGGKTAGCTTTRGATTGGATATTAAAGAAAGTTTATTCATGGAAAGAGTGGTCAAGAATTGGAAGGGGCAGGCCAGGGAGGTGGCGGAGTCCCATCCGTGGAGGTGCTGAAGGAACGACCGGACGCGACACTGAGTGCTCTGGTACAATTGACAAAGTGGGGAACGTTCACAACTCAGCCGCGAAGATCCTGGATGTGTTTTCCAAACTCAATAACTCCGCCATCCCGCATTAAACACCACGCCCGCCCCTCACGAACCCGCCGGCCCCTCCCACCCCTCACGGCGCCGCCCTCAGAGCCCGCCCTTCCCGCGCCTTCTCGAAAAGTCTCGCGAGAGCCGGCGGTTCCCGGCCGGACGCCCCCGGGAAGCGGCTCCGCTCCCGCTGCCCCTTCCCGGCTCCAGCCCCGGCTCGTTCCCCGGCTCCAGCCCCGGCTCCTTCCCCGCTGCATTCCCGCTGCATTCCCGTCCCCGCTGTATTCCCGACCCATGGATGAGCCCTGCGGCGCGGGCGCCGCTGCCCCGCTGAGGGGAGACGCCGAGGAGCCCAAGCAGGTAAGCGGCAGCGAGGGGGGCCGTGGTAGGTGAGGTAGCGGAGCTGGGCGAGGGGGAAGGGAGGTGTCGAACCGTGGTTACAGACACAGCCCCCAGTGGTGTTTTAATTCAAGCCGTGTTTTTCATCCCCTTTCCAGTTTGTCAGGGCCGGAATGCGGTAGGGAACATGCTAATTATAATTAAGCGTTAATTGTGAGCAGTGTTGCTGTTGTTATGCCTAAGTGCATCGCATTTACGTAAGTGGTGTCCTGTGGAGCTGTTTTTCCCTCCACATGTGTTAGTTCAAAGCTCCTCACACTCGGGTGACAGCTGCGTGTTTTGCTGTGTTTGTAAAAAAAATAAGCAGCCACGAGGCTTATTTATTTGTTAAGACAGAAGCGTGTTTAGCTTTAATGCYGRTGTTAGTGTTAATGTTGGTGTTAGTGAAGACTTGGTGTTAATAACGCCTACTTTCACAAACTTCAGTGGGAGTCGTGTGTTAGTTTTGGCCTTTCTGAGTGATTTCACGCYGTGTGGGCAGCTGACCTTGGTGGCACTTCATTCTTGCACCTCAGTGTGCCCAGGTGGGCAAGAAGGTCACTGTCRCCTGGCTTGGATYAGCCACAGTGTGGCCACAGGACCAGGGCAGTGACCGTCCCCCTGTGCTGGCACTGCTGGTGTCCATCCTCAAGTTCTGGGATTGGTTCTGGGGCTGTTATGTCAAGGAAGACTTGGAGTGGCTGGAGCGTGTCCAGGGCAGGGAATGGAGCTGGGGAAGGGTCTGGAGCCCCAGGAGCGGCTGAAGGAGCTGGGAAAGGGGCTCAGCCTGGAGGAAAAAAGGCTCCAGGGGGACCTTGTGGCTCTGCACAACTCCCTGACAGGAGGGGACAGCCAGGGGTAGTCGTGCTCTGCTCCAGGGAACAAAGACAGGAGGAGAGGCCCTCTCAAGCTGTCCCTGGGGAGGTTCAGGTTGGACATCAGGAGGAATTCCTTCATGGAAATAGTTGTCAAGTGTTGGAACAGGATGTCCAGGGCAGTGGTGGAGTCCTCAACCTGGAGGTGTTTAAGGAAAGACAGGATGTGGTGCTCCATGTTCTGTTCTAGTTGGCARTGTGATGGACCTTAATGATTCTGTGATAATTCTAAAGATTTGACATGAGTTGGAATTGGGGTAACTGAAAAACTGTATGTGCTGGACAAAGATAARTGAATACAGGACTCGATTTTTCTCACCATTAAAAATAACATCACAGAGCAAGCCTGATAGTTTTAATTGCCTGCATTTTATAAATAGAAGGCTAATATCTCTCTGGAAACCAGGGTTCGGTGTTGTTCCTCGGAGGCAATGAGGTGAAGAGCAGTGCTGTGGTGAAATACTCCTCAGCCCCTCCACAAGCAGCCTTTGCCCGTCTGCAGGAGAAAACAGACCTGAAGCTGCCTCCTGCCAACTGGTTACGGGAAAGTGCCAAGCTGGGACCAGCAGGGACAACCATTCTGGGCAACAGCAAAAAAAGTAAACCCTTCTCAAGGTAAAAAAAGAGCAGCCCCTATTTTTTCCATGCCTTTAAGGATAATTCTGATTGTGAAGTTGTATCCTGTGTTATTTGAAGTAGAAAGTACATGTTCTACCATAGCAACTACATATTGCTTTGTCCCAACTGTTCTTCTTCTAATTTTTCCTGTTGAGTTCTTGGCACTATGCTCTGATTTGTCTCCTTTGTAAATGATTAATGATGTTGGTTATTACTTGGTTCACGTGCATATTGACACCTTGCTGCGGTCAAACTGACTTAATGTTCTTTCCTGGTTGGCCCAAATCAAACCAGACTAGTTCAGCCAGCCCTTCTGCCTTTGATAACAGGTGAAAAATAGAGCRTGRTTCCCCTTGGAAGCCAATTTATATMTCTTCTGGATCTTTAGCAACTGGACCTGATGAATGGCAAATGAAATTTYGTATTTATATCAGGAGTGAACATTGGAGGTGAAATGAGGGGCACCCCCAAAAAGCAGTGTTACCTTTCATTCGTGGGTATGTTTGTTAAATTGTTGAATGCATTGAGTTCAGGGTGTTCATAAATAGGAGGCTCAAATCCTGTGCTGAACAAACAAATTCACACCAAGTCAGSCAGTCAGTGAAATTTAACAGCCTGTGCAAGGTCTGTGTTTACATCATCATCATCTCTTTTAGGAGCTGTACTTTTTGGAGTGGAGTAACATATTTTTCAGGGCTTGATGAATTTTTCATGTTTATTTTAGATACTGTGTTTGTCAAATAGAGGCTGGCAGTTTAATCTCYTTCTCTAGTGTCAGTATTAAAAAGCTGATAATGAAATCATGTATTTTTTGGATTATAATGGTATCTGGCTTTATTTTAAAGAGTGATCTATACATTGAAATATTCTAAGTTAAGTACCTTGTAATTTCCTTAATGAGGGTGGAGGAAGAGACAATGTGTCTGTTACAACATGTAGGGCAATTTTGGAAAATGTGCATAAGCGGTAAAATGAAACTACAGCTACTAAAATTAAAGTCTTTAACATGCTTAATGCCTTAAAGAGAAACTCTTTGAATAACTCCTCTTGGGTTTAGTGTTGAAAAGAATCCTTCAATTTCTCTGATTTTTCTTGATTTTAGCAAAACTTAAAGTGTTTTAGAATGTCCTGAAATTAGATCTAAGCACTTCCAAAGATACCTTTGAAAAGCTTTGAGAATTTGAAGATTAAATTATTTTGTTCATTTTAGGTCTCATTACACTTGATATTTAGCTGCATTATTTTTTTTAGTGAAAAACCTTTCAAATATTTAATAGATATAAAAAACAGGTCTGTAATGTCATACTGGAACTGTCTTAAACTTGTAATATTTTTTAAATAGCTTTGGGATGGCCTATGACTTCATTGACTCAGTTGGAAATGATGTGGATGTGGTATCTGATTCAGAGGTATGGACACAAATTCTGTCATTCAAATTTTTATGCTTTATAAGCTTATTTTAAGATACTGTCATAGCTTCTGGCATCTTTGTGTCCTTTGGGGAAAAGGAAAGACCCCTAATGTATCACAGATCACCAAGTAAGAGAGTTGTGATCACTGAATAAGAAATGTAGAGACAAAATCGTATTTTCTCTGGTGTTCTCTAAATAAKCTACAGCTAAAATATGCAGTTTAGTGAATGCATCACATCAGTTTTGCAATGTAGTTGTCTTGTGGTTTTGAAATTATTTATTTTGATGTAAAGTGTTGCTCTCAAGATTTTTTTTTTCCTATTTTTATCTAGAAGAGAGAGCTCCCCTTCAACTTCTTTTTTCCTTTGAGTTTTGTCAG